GATGTGCGGTGGCCCTGTCATGTGCACCGTCCTCCCACTCACGACCTGAGCTGGATGAGTCACAGTGAATGGAGCCAGCAAGGCAGAGGTGTGTGGGTGTAAAGGCACATGCCCACAGCGGGACTGGCATCCACAAAGTTCAAGTCCCTACCTCCTTCCCCCCTTTGCCTTCACATGTTCAGCATCTTATAGCTCATGAAGCCCAGGCACACCCATTATTTTACTTGTTCCTTAAAAAATCTTGCACTCAGGAAAGAAAGCTCACTAGTTCCATTTTGCAGGTGAAAAGACTGAGGCATAGAAAAGAAAAAAGCAGCTCAGGAGTCTGGACAAAACTGACATTTCCTGATGATTCAGTTTTACATCATTCTTTCCTCCACCCCTGTTCTCGATCCAACACCCCTCCCACCCAACCATCCTCCTGCCCTGGACCCTCAGGGACAGCTTATTCAGACAGAAGTCGGTGGGTTTCTGGTCAATCAATTCTTTGGGGCCCCAGGGGCAGCTCACTGCATGGAGAGTTGCACAGCCAATAATGAGATGTAAATTTCCAGTGGAGCACAGAAGTGAATCCTAATGAAAGGTATTATTAAATTCAGAAAAACACGAAGAACTTTCAACTGAACAGAACTGATTAGTCCATAAAAAGGGAATAGATTACAGTTTGCGTCATTTGTTGTCTAGACAAATCACTCAGATACACACGTGCTGGTGTTAATTAGTGCCATGGAAATTGAGCATTCCGTAGCCTAAAATGTTATTGTTCAACAAATTAAAAAAATGCATATTTAATAAAGAAAACTATAGCTCAAACAATCATTCCCCATAATGCTTAAATAGACTGTGGGTTTTTTTTCCTGTCCCTATTTAAATGAAAAGCCTACGTGAGTCAAAATTGCTGTTGCTTCTTATGCCTAATGGAAGGTTTTGTGTTCCCCACCCCCCCTTGATATCACAAAATGTACAATTCTAATAGAAGTCATATGCAGGTCTGAATATACCACCGCACGATCCTTTCTAATTTTAGTCGTAAAGTCCAGACTTTTTTCCCCTGGTTTGATCCTTCAGCAAATTCTTGATGGATCTAGCCTCCTGCTCAAGTTTCTACACATCAGTGACCCTTGATGAGAAGACAGCCAATGAGTTTTTCTTTTTAACCTATGACATTTCAATCAAACCCTCCACACAAAATCCAGACAGGGTCTAGGGATTGAATGAGGAAGCACCCGTGTCTGCAGCTGTGGAGACGGGGAAGGTCTAGAGCAGACGTGACAGGTGTGAGGGAGCAGGAGGCACGTCTCGGTCAGCTTGCACTGCTGTAACAAAACCTTCTGGCAGCAGGAAGGCCAAGATCAAGGTCCTGTTACTGTTTCTGGTGAGGACTCCCTTCCTGGCTTGTAGATGGCCGCCTTCTTGCTGTGTCTTTACATAGATTTCCTCTGTGTGTGAAGAGGGAGGGAAACCTCTGGTGTCTTTTCTTAAAGGACAGTAATCCTATTAGACTAGGGCCTCACTCTCTTGACCTGCATTCTGTCCTGAAAGGCCCCATCTCCAAATACAGTCACACTGGAGGTTAAGGTTTCAACGCATGAATTTGGGGGGTGGGGGGCACAATTCAGCTCCTGGTAGAGGAGGTGGTACAGGCCCGGGGAGAGCACCTGGTGGGGAGGAATCCAGAAACTTCACCGGCAATTGTCTCTCAGGCCAGTTGTGTGGACAGGGCCCTTGTGGGTGCGGGGGCAGAGAGGGGTGCAGGGTGTGTGAGGCTTGGTTGGGGGAGAAGGGAGGGCAGTCTGTGATCGGGCCTGTCGACACCCAAGGCTTTGAAGTTTGTTAGGCTTCAGGAAGATTAAGATTAAGGTGCGTTGGGGCCTGCAGGTTTAGACAGGTGAGAGCAGGCAGCCTCCGCTCCCCTCTCTGAGATGCTGGGGCTGCCCCCACACAGGCAGGGGTTAGGTGCCCGCCTCACCTCTCCCCTCTTCTAAGTTCTGGCTTCTGGCCAGAGGGAACACCTGTGCTCTGCTAGCATCTTGGACCTTGAGACCCCACCGAGAAGATGGCTGGGGTGGGGGGACTCTACCTGCCTGAGGCTCACCATCCCACACCCCACATGCACTCCTAAGCCTAGCAAACACCCTGAGCAAACGCAACTTCTTCCTACCTCTTCCCAGGATTTCCAAGGGTGAGTTGGGGGATGTGCACCCCTCTGCGCCCCCTGTAGGAAAATTCAGGAACCACCACTCCTTGCACAAACCTCTCAGCTACACTGATGACTGCAAACTAATTATTAGTTACAAAAAAACATATCCTCTACTAGAGTATGAACCCAGCTCCCACACCCGGGGTGGTGTGTGTGTGTGTGTATGCTTTCCACTGGAGCTCAATAAATATGTGAATAAATGAATGGGGGTTTTAAGGCCCATTAAGCTTACACTAATATGCAATTTGAACGTAATGCTGCCGGTTAACTATGGAACCGCTGAGAAGGGCAGTCATGTGAGTGGGGATCGGAACACCCACATGGGGTGTGGAGGAGGGAGCGCGCTCTACTGCGTGGGACAGTGATTTGGCCTGAGCTCCTGGCAAGCCTCAGTTCAAAGCTCAGTCCCGCGGTTACTAGTTGTGTGACCAGAATATGCGACGTGAAGGATGTGGGCTGGGACAGCAGGCTATGGGGGTTCAGACCCCCAACTTTGCCACCTGCCGGCTGAGCGATCTTGGTGCGTTACCTGATGTCTTATTTCCTCCGAGAGTCGCATATGAGAATTTCACATGCCAAGTGCAAAGCACTCAGAAAGCACTTGGCTCATGGTGCACTTAAAATAAATATTATTATTACTCAACCTTTCTGAATCTCCCCTCCTTACACTGTAGTAACAGGCTGCAGGCTGATTTTTCCTTATTTTTTCAGAGCGGTTTTAGGTCACAGCAAAACTGAGCAGGAAGTACAGAGACTTTCTGCATACCCCGGGCTCTGCTCCGGCTCAGCTTCCCCCACTGTCAATATCCCGCACCAGAATGGCCCATTTGTTATCTTCGATGAACCTACAGTGACACAGCATTACCGCCCAAAGTCCGTAGTTTACGCTGGAGTTCACTCTTGCTGTTGTACCTTCTGTGGGTTTGACAAATGTAAAATGAAACATATCCACCATTACGATATATCATCAGAATAGTCTCACTGCCCAAAACATCCGCTGGGCTATCCTAGTCACCTCTCCCTCTAGAATATATTTTTTAAAGACTTATGTATTTGTTTGACAGAGAGAGAGCGTGCGCACAGACAGGGGGAGCAGCAGACAGAGGGAGAAGCTGGTTCCCCACTGAGCAGGCAGCTGGAGATATGAGGCTCCATTCCAGGACCCTGGGATCATAACCTGAGCCAAAGGCAGGTGATTAACAGACTGAGCCACCCAGGTGTCCCTAGAATTTTTTTTTTTTTTTTTTTTTTTTAGATTTTACTTATTCATTTGAGAGAGACAGAGAGAGACAGAGAGACAGAGAGTACAAGCAAGGGAGAGGCAGAGGGAGAAACAGACTCCCCGCTGAGCTGGGAGCCCCAGGTGGGGCTCTATCTGAGGACCTGGAGATTGTGACCTGAGTCAAAGGCAGACGCTTCACCATCAGAACCACCCAGGCATCCCTAGAATATTTTTTTAAACAGTCTCCGGGTCACAGATGATGCTCAATAATTTGTAGTATAGATCATGCTGCAAGCTAGTGCAAAGGTTCAGGCATATGAGCGGCTGAAAGACAGCTGTGGCCAGGGGCTCGGTAGAGAGGGGAGGGTGTGGGAAGGAAATGCAGGCCTTGGAAGACGCAGGAGCTTGGGGCTTCAAGGGCTCTGGAAGCTAGTGGCGGCAGTGGGCTGCAGAGAAATAGGAAGCCGTGGACAGCAAGGATTTTGAGGCAGAATTTCAACCTGCTAGCCCAGCGTGGATCCATCCCCCAGGACTGCAGGAACCTCTCTGGATGAAGCGGTGGCCCATCTGGACTCTACTTCCATTGCACTGTGTGACCTTGGGCAAGTCCCTTCTCTCCTACAGGAGCTGGACTGGATGTCCTACCCTGTGAAGGCGAAAAGGTGCCGCGAAAAGGGGATGTAGGGAAACTTCAAGGACAAGGACAGATGAGGGCGGCGGGGGTGGTCTGAGACAAGGAGGGACCAGGGACGCAGGCTGGAGCGGTCTCGGAAGGGGCTTTCTTGGGCCCTTATTCCCGCCCGGCAACAGGCAGCCGTGCTCCTTCCCCATCTTCCCCATCGGTCTTCTCTAACTTTCCACCCTGAGCCGCCAGCCACTTTAAAGCCTGGGCTCCTGGCCCCCCTGTGACCCTTAGCGTCCCGGGGTGGGTGGGGGCGGTCGCGCGCTGCTGGCGGCGGCGGCGGCGGCAGCTGGGCCGGTCCGCCCAAGGGTTAACCCGTTCCCCGCAGCTGCCGCGCGTGCCTTGCAGAATTTCACCAGAAGAGGGTACAGTTGGAAAAGCTCTTGACGTCAGGCTGGAATTCCTATTGTGTTTAGAAACGGCTTGGGCAAAGCAAGCCCAAGTTCGCTCTCCGCACACCTCGGCGGACTGCGTGGGTCCGGCCGCGCCGCGACTCGGCTCGCGCGGGAGGCGCCCGCGGGGACCCGCGCGGCTCCGGGACCTGCCCGCCGCTGCCCGCGCGCCCCGGGGCGGAGGACCGCCGCCCGCGAGGGCACCCCGGTCCCGTAGGAAGCCGAGCCGAAGCGGCGGGTCGCGCAGCCGCCCGGAGCGGGGTGAGTGCTCGGGGCGAGGCCGGCGGCAGCCAGAGCCCCCCCGCCCGCGCGCCCCGGCGCCCGCATGCCCCGGACCCCCGCCGCCGCCGCCGGGTGCATGCCTCCCCCGCGGCGCGCCCCTGCCGCCTGCCGCCCGCTCTGAGCGCCCCTCCAGGCAGGCGGGCGCCGGCGGGCTTCCCCGAGGGCGGCGCGCGGCTGGGACCCGCCGGACCCCCGGCTGGCGGCGGCGGCGGCGGCGGGGCGCGGAGCCGAGGAGGCTGAGCCGGCGCTCGCCGGGAGGATGGAGGCGGCCGTGGAGTGCAGCCTCCCGGAGCCGGGCAGCCAGGACTCCCGGGCCGGCGACGACATCGAGATCGTCGTCAACGTGGGGGGCGTGCGGCAGGTGCTGTACGGGGACCTCCTGAGCCAGTACCCGGAGACCCGGCTGGCCGAGCTCATGGGCTGCTTGGCGGGGGGCTACGACACCATCTTCTCCCTGTGCGACGACTACGACCCCGGGAAGCGCGAGTTCTACTTCGACAGGGACCCGGACGCCTTCAAGTGTGTCATCGAGGTGTACTACTTCGGCGAGGTCCACATGAAGAAGGGCATCTGCCCCATCTGCTTCAAGAACGAGATGGACTTCTGGAAGGTGGACCTTAAGTTTCTGGACGACTGCTGCAAAAGCCACCTGAGCGAGAAGCGCGAGGAGCTGGAGGAGATCGCGCGCCGCGTGCAGCTCATCCTGGACGACCTGGGCGTGGACTCGGCCGAGGGCCGCTGGCGGCGCTGCCAGAAGTGCGTGTGGAAGTTTCTGGAGAAGCCCGAGTCGTCGTGCCCGGCGCGCGTGGTGGCCGTGCTGTCCTTCCTGCTCATCCTCATCTCGTCTGTGGTCATGTGCATGGGCACCATCCCCGAGCTGCAGGTGCTGGACGCCGACGGCAACCGCGTGGAGCACCCGACGCTGGAGAACGTGGAGACGGCGTGCATTGGCTGGTTCACGCTGGAGTACCTGCTGCGCCTCTTCTCCTCGCCCAACAAGCTGCACTTCGCGCTGTCCTTCATGAACATCGTGGACGTGCTGGCCATCCTGCCCTTCTACGTGAGCCTCACACTCACGCACCTGGGCGCGCGCATGATGGAGCTGACCAACGTGCAGCAGGCGGTCCAGGCCCTGCGGATCATGCGCATCGCGCGCATCTTCAAGCTGGCGCGCCACTCGTCCGGCCTGCAGACCCTCACCTACGCTCTCAAGCGCAGCTTCAAGGAGCTGGGGCTGCTGCTCATGTATCTGGCCGTGGGCATCTTTGTCTTCTCCGCCCTGGGCTACACCATGGAGCAGAGCCACCCCGAGACCCTGTTCAAGAGCATCCCCCAGTCCTTCTGGTGGGCCATCATCACCATGACCACAGTGGGCTACGGTGACATCTACCCCAAGACCACTCTGGGCAAGCTCAATGCGGCCATCAGCTTCTTGTGTGGGGTCATAGCCATCGCCCTGCCCATCCACCCCATCATCAACAACTTCGTCAGGTACTACAACAAGCAGCGGGTCCTGGAGACAGCCGCCAAGCACGAGCTGGAGCTGATGGAGCTCAACTCCAGCGGTGCGGGCGAGGGCAAAGTGGGGTGCTCCCGCAGCGACCTGGACAGCCTGCCGCCGGAGCCCGCCGGGGAGGAGGGGCCGAGCTGGAGCAGCCGGCTGAAGATCTCCCACAGCGACACCTTCATCCCTCTCCTGACCGAGGAGAAGCACCATAGGACCCGGCTGCAGAGTTGCAAGTGACCAGGGTCCTCCGGGCACAGACTTGGCCACTGGACGGAGGGGCGGGTGTGACGGGCCTGCCAGTGACTTCCTGGGAGGGGCTGTCCTTTGTCCCCTCAATCGTCTCCTGAACAGAACTCTGAAGGCCCCCTCGGGCACCTCTGGTGAGGCTGGGTAAGACCCCCTTTAAGTTGCCGGCTCTCAGGAGCCTGTTGGGGAAAGAGGGGTGTCCAGGAGTCACGGGCAGTATGGGGTGATGGAGGCCATGGTCTGGCTGATGGCTGGTTCTGTATCTCCTTCAATAAAGCCTCCTGCTCTGTGCACCCCCTGCGTTGGAGGTTCTGTCCCAGGCTGGCTGTCCCCCACCCTGACCCCAGCTCTCAGTTGTGGTGCAGGCGCACCCAGCACCCAGCGAGAAGTAGGTGTGCAGCCCGGGGGGGGGGGCTATTTTTAGTTGACAGCTTATTACAGAAGGGTTCACACACAGGGTCAGCGCCAAGGAGCCTCGCCACATTCCAGGAGGCTCTGTGCTGGCGACTTCTTCATTCTGTTTCCTTCTGAGGAAAGGCTTGCTCCTGGGAGGGGAAGAGTTCACCGAGCTAGAAACAGCAAGTGGCGGGGATACGACTTCTAAGTCACCTGTGGGAGGCCCTTCTCACAGCTTGTTTCCATTCCTTCCAGCAACCCTGCCAGATAGGTATTCCCATTTGACAGATGAAGAAACTGAGGCTGGGACCACACAGAGCAGGGATTCAGTCCCAGGTGTGAAGATCCCGAAGCCCGTCCTTTCTCTTTGTTTTGAGGTGGCCTTGGGACAGAAGTGTGCTTGGGCCTGCAAGGGAGGGAGGATCTCTAGACAGGAGAAGAGCTGAGCTTCCTCGGGGTGGAAGTGCCTGTCCTCCAGCCCATCCTTCTTTCTAGAACCAGGACCTCTGCTGTATCAGCTGAAAGGACAAACCTGAGTGTGTTCGGGTGGTCCACTTCCAGGCTGGTCTGGGAACCCCCGAGGAAGAGAGACAATTCCCTGGGTTTGCAGCCCAGGGAATGAGGAAGATATCTCTGAGATGTCTTCCGGCTCAAATACTTTTCTCTGGCATTTTTCTCTCTAGCACTTCTCTCTCCCCACCAGTCCCTTCATAGATGTGTGGCCTCAGGCCTGTTGATTAACCTCCCTGATCCTCATTGTGGTCACATTGAAGGGGGTTATTAGAATTATCCTGGATAACCATGGTGCTTAACACAGTGCCTGGCACATAGTAGCTGCTCAGTAAATGGCCGCCATCTCTGTCTGTGTGCTGAGAGGGAGGCGAGACCCACAGCTGTCCACTCTGGCCTCTAGTGTGTGGGCTGGGCTTGTGCAGTGGCAAGGGGAGGGGACAGGGCCCCTGCCATGCTGTTTGTAGTCAAAGGCTGTCCCCTTGGCACAGAGATGGTCCCGGCAGGCCCTTCTCCCTGACTATCTATCTATCTTCCAGGAGCCCTGGCCCTCTGTTCTTCCTTCCCCGGCTGAGGCAGCTGATGCCCAAGGAAGAGCCATGGTGGGGAAGTAGGGTGGGGACACTCCCCAGTCTCTCCTCTTCCCTGGGTCCTGGTTTTCCTACATGCATCCAGGGGGATGGTTTCTCTGGGATTTCAAAGCCTAAGGTGTGTTGTGTTGAGGACTCCAGGGGGTGGGAGGCTGCCCTGTGGTAAGGGGACTTGGAAGGGAGGTCTGGAGAGTCGGGGCCATCCCCATGGGGAGCAAGGCCCTGAGGCAATATTGTGTGCCTCTCCCCCGAGTTTCATCAGGGAAATACTGGGTCAGGTGACAAAGGGAGGTGGAGGAAGGAGGTGGGGCTGGGGCTGTGGGACTCAGTGGAGGTGGAGGGGCGGAGAGGAGGGGTCTGTTGCTTGGTCTATGTGGGCCTTGGTTCAGTGAGGGGCTCTGAAGCCTAAGTGGTGGGGGGGAAGTTCCTGGTTGGGGAGAAGCTAGGAGGACCCCAGATCAGGAGGCGCCTTCCCTTTGGTTCACCTGGGGGTTAGGGGAGAGTGTCTTTAGAGCTGCAGAAGCATCTCGGAGTCCAGCTCATCTACTGGAAGGAGGAGACCGTGTGCAGAGAGGATGAGTGATTTGTCTGAGAACCTTCATGAATTAGGGTTAGACGGTGTCGCAGTGTCAGAGGAGCTCCGAGCGGGACAGGCTGGCTGTGGAGGGGTGACCAGGCGGCTGTGGGAGCCAGGCCGGGGGGCAGCCCTCTCTCCCTGGGGAGTCTTTCCAGGGCACTGTAGAACCGCCGGGAACTGTGCAAAATCCTGGTGGGCAGCTGGCACCTGCAGCCGTTACATGAGAATCCTAGGGTGACACTCAGGCATCAGAATCTTTAAAAACTTTCAAGTGCACACGGGTCATCTGGTGCTCTTGCTAAAATGCTAATATTTTAATCAGTAGATCTACCTGGGACCCTGAAATGCTGCATTTCCAACAAACTTCCAGGTACAGCCGCTACCTTCCAGGAACGCTGGGGCTGGTCCAGAAGCCACACTTGGGAGAGGATCAAGAGGCCAGAACGGGAGCTGGCAGGCTGTGGCCGGGGCCCAAATGTAGTCTGCCATTTGTGCTGTCCGTGAGCTAAGAAGGGTTTTTACGCTTTAAAATGGTTAAGAAAACAATCAGAGAAATCATAACGTTTTGTGACATGTGAAAAGAATCTGCAATTCACATCAAGTCTTAGTGGGACAGAGCCACGCCCATTTCTCAGATGGTCTCTGGCTGTTCTCTGCTGCAAGGGCGGGGGTGAGTGGTTGTGAAGCAGATCACATGGTCCTCAGAGCCCAAAATATTTCTTATCTGGCCCTTTACAGTGACAGTGTGCCAACCGGGTGTGGGAAATGAGATCTCTTAGGCCTTGAAGAATGAGTAGGAGCTCTCCCGGAAGCAGAAAGGGCTGTGCATACCCCAGGAACATCATGAGCAAAGACCCAGCAGCAGGGTAGGGGGGGCCCACTTTCGAGGGGGTGGGACTTGGGTCCCTCTCAGTGTCCCTGGTTGGGTGGGGGGGGGGGGGTCACAGCAGCCCTCCTTTCTTTCCTTCTGAGAATCCCCAAGTTCTGGCTTCCTATATCGGGCTCTCGGCAAACCTGGGTTCCTCCTTTGCAAGCCAGTCCCTCCCTCCCTTCCTGACCTCCCCTCTGTGGTGTCACCAAATCTCCCGTCTCCTGGGACCAGAGCCTAAACAACCTTTTCTCTGACTTTGGTGATTCTGGCAAACTTCTTGGGACTCGTTAGATTCTGAGAGAGGAGGAAAGAAAGATAGGTTTCACGGAATCGCAGCACATCCGAGTTAAAAGGAAAATAGGCATCATCTGGTCCAGCTCTCCTCCAATGAACTGATAGGAAAATGTGTTGCCAAATCCCGTGCAGTCGAGCGAGGTGGCGGGGCGGGGGGGGGGGGGGGGCGTGCTCATTAAAGGCCTGCAGTCCACAGCTGGATTGAGGGGACCTCTTATTCTCACAACGTTGGGAGCCCTGTGCCATTTTTGAAAGCAGAATTGTGAGTGCAAGTCCGTGTGTGTGCGTGTGTAAAACCAAATCATGCAGTGAATTAATTATGCTTAGTTTTACAGATAAGGGAACAGGCTGGTGGCTGTGTGCCACTCCTCGGTGGCGAGGGAGAAGCCGTGCCCATGGCCTGCAGCCCGCCGTTACCCACGCCTGGCCACGGTGCTGCTCTCGCAGTCTCCATCAGAACCCAGGCCATCCCCCGCCCCCGCCCCAGTGTGTGCCCTGAACTTCCTAATGGTGCAAGATGCTGTCATCTGATCTCTTGGAAAGCCCTCATTCCAGATGGACTGGGTCTGGTGGTGGTGTTTTTTTAAGGAAAGATTGAGAAGGAAAACACATTTCCTTGAGCAAGCCGCTTTGGACCAGATGCTCGGGCCGTGCACAGTTCAGGATCCGTGCTGGCAAGGGTAAGAAGTGTCTGGAGTATAAAACTTGCCATCTGGGGCTGGGAGGTACCGCGAGGTACCGCGGAAAACAATGAAACAAAATACCCAGGAAGTGGGGGGTGGGTGGAAATCTGTGAAAATGGCAAGACCTGAAATTCTTTCACACACACTTCCTGAGAACCCTTGACAGGCGGGTGAGACAGTCGCCTGGGGTTTCGGGAATGGGTGCAGATTGCTGGATTGAAAGGGGTCCCACTAACCGGGGAGTTCCGGCGGGGGATGGGCCAGGGCAGGGAATGCCTGGGATGCAGGGGGGCCCTTGCCTGTCCTTGGCCCAGGCAGGGAAGGGGCTGCCCTCAGCCGGCCCCCCCCCGGCCCCCGCCGCCCAGCAGGAGGAGGATGAGAGGTCTCCCCGATTGCTTCCCAACAACATCTCCTGGGAAACAAGGGGCAGGTGTTTCCAGAGACGCCTCCCAACCTTCCCACCAGAGACCAGACATCTCCATGCACCGCGTTCACGGGGACATATTCGTCGGCAGATCTGTAAGTGGGCTTCTGCTGTACCCCTGATCTGAGCTGGAAGCAACCCCCCCCAAAGGCTTTTCTCCACTGTCACAGCCTGTGGGCTTCCAAAAGGGAGAGAAAGAGAAACAAAGATGAGGGGGCTGTGCTCCATCATTTCCCTGTTCCGGACGCTGCCACCATCAGCCAGCCGGACTCAGAGCCAGGGCGGCCGTCGTCGTGATTTTGTTTCTCTCTGTCGACAACCGGCCAGGAAGGAGTGGCCGGTCCTGTTGTGGATGACACCCGTGTGGCCACGCCGCTGAGGGGAGGTTCCTGTGGGAGTCCCTCTCAGGCGCGGCACCCTCCACCCTGCAAAGCGGCGTCTCTCCCCACCTCCGCCTGCCCTTCTCTCGGGCTCGCGGGGAGGGAAAGAGCAGCCCTCAGTGGGCTCCTGGCAGCGGCCACGTGGCTTCTCCCCAAACACAAGCCTGATGTCTGTTGACAAGAGCTTGGCTGGGAGGACGGGAGCCGTGCTTGCTGCCGTGACAGCCCAGCTCCCGGGGAAGGTGCAGATGGGAATGCACAGGCCA